ATATAAAACAATATAAAACCATTAAAAAAAAATAAATATCTGTTATAATACTTAAAAATCAAAAATTTAAAAACTTGAAATATTAATAATTACAAAAATATTTAGTGAATTGTTAGCAAATATATATAAATATTTGTTTAAAATCTTAAAGATTATATTATTGCAATAAATGAATTAATTGTAATTAAAAATATTTTTGAAAATAATAAAATTGTAAAAATAATTTTAACAAATACAAAAATTAAAACCAAAATAATTAAAATTTTGAAGAAGAATTAAAAGAATTATCTTTAACTTTAGTTATAATTATTAAAGTATATGAAGTATTGCAATAGATTATAAGATTTGAAAAAGAAAACTTTAATATAAAAAATTTGCAATTATTTAGAAAAAGATTATATAATTATAAAAAATATATATATAAATTCAAAAAAACAGATATTTCTTGACAGATATTTTGTTAATATTATCTAATTCTTAAATAATTCTTGTTATAAAAACAATAAGAATAGTAATATAATATTGTATTTTATTAAATAAATATTATTTTACTTTATACAATAAATAATTGTATATTTTTTTAAGTATAAACCAAATTTATATCATTATAATAATCAAGTAAATATTTTTAAAAATAGAAAACATAATATTATTTTTTGTATTATAAAAAGATAACCTTGTAATTTTGAGTTGTGTTTATGGTTCCGAAAATTGGAATCGAATAGAATCGAACAGAATCGTATGAGGTTCGGAACATTATTAAAAATGATAGTAGGGTATATCCCACCTATTAAATTTAATATAAACTTGAGAATCAATTACAGAATCAAATAGAATCGTTAGGATTCTTGGTTGTGTTTAGTTAAAAGAAGATTGGTAAGTATATAAAAGTTAATCAAATTGTAATTATTTTAAAGTTTAAAATTTTATCTTATTTAATATTAAAATTCAAGTATTTGGATTATTATTATATAAAGAGTAAGTTATTTTAGCAATGATAATAATATTTTATAAAAAAATACTTTTATAATAAAATATAATTTAACTGTTTTAATTATATTTTTTTATATAGAGTTGATTATATAAGATTTAATATATATATATAAAAATTATATGTTTTTTTGTTTTATTTTATTTTTTTATTCAAAATTAAAAAAAAATTTTTAATATTTTTTTGGCTTTGTACTGATATATAGGATTATCTAGTTTATTAAATATAATTTAATCAATATTAAAATTTGTCAATATTTAAAAAAATATTTAATTGAATATATAATTATTAATTGATAATTTTATAAGATTAATACTTGTTTTTTTTTTTGATTTTATTATAAATTGTTTACTTTGTTTTTTTTATTATAAAGTTTGATTTGTTTTTTTAATAGAAAGTAAAAAAAAAACAAAAAAACTTTAACTGATTTTTAAAGTAAAAATTATTTATTATATTTAAAAAAAATATTAATTGCTTATTTTTTTTTATATTTTTTAATTTCTTGAAATTTCTTTTTTTGAAATTTTGATGTTTGATGAAAAGAGTTTTAAAAAAATAATTAAAATTTATATTATATAATTGTAATATTATAAAATTTTAAATAATTAAATTGACAATAAAATAATTGTAATCATATATCTAATTAAATTTTATATTTTTTATCAAGATTATTGTATTTATATACGTATATAAAATCTAAAAAAAAAAATCAATTGATTAAGAATTAATAATATAGTTATTAATTTAAATAAAAAAAAAATTCAAAAAAAAAGTTTAAAATATTTTTCAAATACAAAAAAAAAAAGTAATAAAGAGTTTTTTTTTAATTTAAAAAAAGAATTCTTTTTTAAATAAAGTTAAATTAAAATTAATTTTATATAAAATTAAATAAAAATATTATTGTCTATATAATAAGTATTATGGATTTTAAAATAGGAATTTATAATTATATATTCTATTTAACATAATGTTTAAAAATAAACAGATAATGAAAATAAATAAAAATAAAATAAAATTATTAATATACAGTATAAGATATATATATATATTAAATAATAATTTTGATTTAAATTTATCAAATATAATATATAGATAGAATAAAATGTGATGTTTTAAATTTTTAAAAACGTTGATTGTCTCGTGAAGAGACTTGTGATGCAAATTTTTGTATATTTACGTAATTCTGTTTTAGTTCAAGCTTCAGAAGAATGATCTCATAGTTACAAAAAGAATTGATCCTTTTAATTCGAGCTTTAATGACATAATTAACGTCATGATGCTGTAAAAGTCACGTCTGTACGAATTGTATAGATTAGTTAATTGAAAGAAAGAAAGTATTAGTATAAAAAGCGCGTTTCCGTAGGTTGAAGTAAATTTATCAACTGCACAAATCGAACTTTTCATAATTTCTCTAGATCATAATCATGAGTGTAGAAGAAAAAAAGATTTCGGAAGTTTCATCCATTCCAAAACAAGAAATGCAAGAACAGCCTGGTAAATCACTAAAAGTTGAGGGTGTTGAAAGATTTTTCTTACCCGATACCGCATTTTTTTTTTATTTCAAGGTTTGCAACATGAATTGACGCCTCAACCGTTGGTTCACCATCTCCCTGATCAAACGGATGACAGAATAAAAGAATATCAAGCAGCGGGAAAGTTGAAGGGGAAAATTGTCATCATTACTGGTGGCGACTCAGGAATTGGCCGTTCCACTGCAGCATTGTTTGCGATGGAAGGTGCCGAAGGAATTGCCATTGTTTATCTTCCTCGTGAAGAGAAGGCGCGTGAATACTTGACATAATTATATAATTCATCTTTAAGCGCGTTAATAAGTATTCGTTTGTTCATGCAGGATGCGAAAGATACCAAGGAAAGTATTGAGAAGCACACAAACACTTGTGTTTTATTGATTTGCAAGGATATTGGACACGAACAGAATGTCATCGAAGTTGTTAATGAAGTTGTGAAAAAATGGGGAAGGATCGATATCCTCGTAAATAATGCATCCGAACAGGTAATATTTTGGTGTTCTTTGGTTGATACAATTCATTTTTAATTTTTGCATCCTTGCAAATCCTAGCATGTTTGCGAAAAAATTGAAGAAATCGATTCTTCACAAGTGGAAAAAACGTTCAAGTATTAAAAAAAGTTTTATATTAAAGTGCTATTGAGCGATCTAAATCATTATTCGGGTAATAATTATTATTTCTTTTCTATTATTAAGATCAAACATCTTCGGGATGATTTACATGACCAAACATTGCGTTAAACACATGAAACAAGGAAGGTAAAAATAGTCCATGTTCTTTCAGTCGCGTTTTTTTTCATGTGCAACATTTTATGTAATCAATCTTTTCTCTTCTCAAAGTACCATTATCAACGTTTCGTCTGTCACTGCTTACCACGGCCATCCGGTGTTGATAGACTATTCTTCGACTAAGGTAATGGAGAAGACGATATTTTTTTTTTAAAAAAATTATAGATTTCCTTAATCATTATTTATCAATCATTGATAGGGCGCAATCGTATCCTTTACCAGAAGCTTATCACTCCAATTAGTTCAACGCGGGATTCGAGTAAACGGTGTTGCGCCCGGTATAATATCAATTATTTTAAAAAGTAACATTCTTTGAATCGTCTTTAATTATTCATGTTTTGTCTCTAATAGGCCCAATCTGGACGCCACTTATTAAAGCTTCGTTCTCTCCTGAAAAAATGGAGAAATTCGGAAAGGAAGTTCCAATGAAAAGAGCCGGACAACCATCTGAAGGTAAGGTTTACATATATTTATTTACTTTCGCTTAAATGTTTGAACTAATTTAATATTATCTTTTAGTTGCAACGTGTAACGTGTTTCTTGCAAGCAATGACTCTAGCTATATTACTGGTCAGGTAAGGGTAGACTTATTACATGTCCGCGAAATGATAAAGTGAATGATGTATTAATTTTTTTTTCCTTCTTTCCCAAGTTTCTACACCCTAACGGAGGTAAGGCTCTCATCATTTTTTTTATTTTCCTAGAAATGATCAATAGATTATTTTAACTTTATACCATCTTATAATAGGAACCATTGTCAATGGATAAAGTTAAAATTTACCCTTTCTTTTTCTTTCAACATAATTACCAAATATACTGAAGATGAATTTTTTGTTGCTTTTCTTATATTGTAAGGAGACACAGCCGTTCAAATGCTCCATTACAATAAAATACTTTTTATTAGAACTAAATTTTGACCAATTTTTGTTTTCAATTATTTTACCTCACCTACAAATTTTAAAATAAATATAATTAAGAAATTAAGCTGTAATTTTTGCAGTTTTAAAAATAGTAAATTTATTTTTGTTTAAGAAAAAATTTTACAAATTTATTAGTTTTATCAGTTACTATGACATATTGATCTTTAACTATATATTTTACGCATTATTTTCATATAGAAAAATGTTATCTCAAAATTTTCTTTTTAAAAAAAATACTAATTGTAATTTCATCTGATGAGATGAATTTAATTAACGTATTAATGAAAATTGCGAGTTTCAAAATGATTCTTGTAAAATCGATTAAACTCTGATACACAAGTTGAATAGTAAAAAATTCATTAAATATAATATCAAGTGTGTGACTGAGTTGTAAATTATCGATCCAACACCAAATTTAACATTTATTGCAATATAATCTCGAAGAATGTCCTCCAACGATTATTCTTCTGTTGTTTTTCCACTAGTAAATGGTAATCCTGAAGCTTTTTGATTAAAGAGAAAATTTTGTCAAAAAAAAAAATGAAAAATGATACTAATCCTACGACAATAGGAATACACTTGCCAACTCTCAAGGAACCAACAACACAACTCCAGTCTTGATCTGCATCTGGTGAGTGTTCTTTCGCGTAACTCAAATGTTTGTGAAGTAAATCCGCTGACGGCAAATGAGTTTCCGAATCCTTAGCTAGTCTTCGGATATGACTGTTTATGTGTAGCAAAGGTATATGAATTTAATGCATAAAGTTCGCCTTACGTAGTTACCCGTTGGAAAAATGAAAGATACTGTACTTCACATCCTTTAACGCATTGTCGATATTAAATCCAATATCTTGCTTGAAATTTTCTTTCAGAATTTTTGTCCCTACATTTAAAGTCAAATTAAAAGAAGGAAATTTCACAAGGCTCAGATAATAAGCAATTGTTCATTTAAATTTAATTACCATAATTCCCATAAGGACTATCAGGAAAAAGCAAATTGATGATTTCTAAGAGTTTCTCCCGTTCGATACCATTTTTTTCCGCCAAAGTCATTCCTTCGGATAATGCTTCCAACATGTTTCCAATGAAAAAATTTACTGTCAATTTAAATGATGCTGCTTTCCTTACATCGCTTCCTTTATTTAAAGTTTCACTGTTAATTATTTACAATGTTGGTGAGATAGGATTAAGGGAATAAGATAAACTAACCAACATGAATAGTTTTTCTTCCTAACACGGGTACTAATAGATGATTCACGTGGTCTATTGCAGCTTGATTTCCAGAGGTAACAATTATCAATCGCGCGGCCTGAATAGGAATATCACGATACGATACATATTAAATGAAAGTATACATCTTCGACATTGCAAATCGTAATTTTAACATACTTTTGCATTAACGGGTGGCCCCACGACAGGACAATACAACAGATATCTATTCTCCACATTTTCAAGTTTCTCTTGGATCGCGGCGATGGTGGTCGGATAAATCGTACTTGTATCCACAAAAATTACCTTTTTCTTATTATCGTCAGTAATCTGATCATGTTCCTTTAACAATGTCTCATAAATTTGATTAACAGAGTCATCATTGGCGAGTGAGGTGAAAATGATATTGGCATATTCCACGACTTCTTTCAAACTTTTTGCTGCAATTGCACCAATTTCGGTTAAATCTTGAGTCTTTGAAAATGTACGATTATAGACGATTAATGGCGCAAGGTTTTGGGAGGTTACATAAATTTGAAGGTTGGTGGCCATGTGGTGACTAATTTATCGATCGCATTTTTAACAATGAAACTTTGGTACGAAAGAACTTTAGCAAATAATTAACATTTACCCCATTACTCCAAGGCCGATAAAGCCGTATCGATCAGAATTTGACATTTTAATCGTTTTTGCTTTAACACCAAGTAGGTGAAGTATAAAAAAACTCAAGATCAATCCTTATACACAGTACGCAATGATGTCATATAGCGTCACCAAACATTACGTTAAAGTGCATGAGGCTGGTTGTCTGTGTATACTTGTAGTTAAAAAATTTCTTATTAAAATATAATTAACATAAATATACAATATACCTTTAAAATAATATTTTATTTTATTATTATTATTTCATGTTCAAAAATATTATTACAGTCAATTCTCAATAAACAGATAATTATATGATTATAAAAATCTGAATTTATATTGCTTATAATATAAAACTATAATATAAATTTTTGTTAATAAATTTGATTTAACTAATTTAAATTTTTTTTTTTTTTTATAGTGGAACGTGTGCACAGTACATAATCTTTATTGATACGTTTTATATCCAGATAGACACCAAGTGTCTTTACAGGTTAACCGACGATTGGTTGGTACAGGATACCCTTTATGTCTTTACAGTTAATCTGTAAGTTAACACTGCCTAGTACATATATTACTATAAGACTAGC